GTAACAGTGTTGTTATTGAAACCATCGTTTAAAATTCAGCTGCAAATTGGAGCTTCGCCACACAAAAATAATTTTTGAGGCTTATGTTTTAAAGCCTTTTCTAAGAGTACTGTACTCACAAGATTATGAAACTCACCTGGAATTTCTTTAATGTTAAACATAAAAACCACCTATGTCTACCCTTGGGGAGCCATTTCAGCATAAAGGAACTGAAAAAAACATTAAATTCTGACACTTTTGTTCCTTAATCTAGTAAAATATGTCTTAACCAACCGAGGGAGTTAAGAAAAAACTGTGACCACCCTCTCCAGGTGCTAAAATACCCATGAGCTTCTACTCCCACTGCACTCCATGGATTTGAAATGGCATCTGGACTATGGGAAAAATAAAAGTGGTTTTATTTAAAAGTGTCATATTGAACAGTAAAGGCACTCACAGAAACACCTGAAGAATGCAGGAAGAGGTGCTGGACCCAAACTAATGAGCCTGTCATAGCACCTTTGGGGATGTGTCAGTCTCTGCTGTCTCACATGGAAACATTGACAATCTGTTCAGTGTAGATGCTTTCTTACTTTTTGCAAGATACATGAAAAAAATGTCTCGCCCTGCTCTGTAGGAGATATCTTCAAAAAATTGTATTCAGATGCATATATAGCCTTTACAGTATTATTCTTATCAACATGCCAGATGTCTTCTTTTTCCCAATGCAGAATGTAAAAACAGAGCAGTTGCATGTTGCTTTGCCTCTTGTCTTGTTAGTTTCTTACATGTGGCCTTATTAGTTTTCATGCTCAGCTAAGTTACAAAAAAACTCGGGGGTGGGGGTGGGGGGGTCTCATTACTGACAAGAGGGCAGCCTTCAACAGCAAAGAGAATCAATCAATTAATGAGATGACAGTGTCAGAATCTTAGAGCAAGCAGATTAAAGCAAACTTAAATTGAATGCTTTGATTTGTTTTTCTTTCAAATAACTTGGCTCAAACACCAGGTTTTAGAGAAAAGACACCTCGAAGCATTACGATGGGCAATATATATATATATATATATATGAATAAAACATGAAACTTCTTCTCATCATCTCCAAACTCTAATCTCTACCCATTTTCTTACAAGTTGTTTGACTGCCTCTGGTGTAAACGTGTCAGGATTTATACAGTGAGTCCTACACACATTCACTTTGACCAGATATATATGCACAAAGGGAGCCAACATTTGTGTCTTGGCAATGCAATGTTAATGTCTCAGCGGACATTGGTTCCAATTGATCATGCCTCAAATTATCTAAAAATATGTCTTGCTAAAAAATATTTGTCTATTGCTCCAACTGTTTCCAATAATCCTACAAATGTGCATCTTAAAACAGCATTAATGACACATGAAGAGCCTGTACAACCAAACCAGTAATGATTTTCCATAAATTTTCTATGGTGATTTTATATGACGTCTGTGTGTTTACCTGAACTAAAAGAGACACTCAACCCACTATCACATTTATCCACTTGATCCCTTTGTTATAAAATATTGCACACGGATGCATCTTATCAGAGCACTTCAACATCCATTTGAATTAATCGAGCAAATATCTTTGTAAAGAGTTTACTCAAACAAGCAAAAAGTCTGAACTACAAGGTCCAAACTCAGTGCACGTCATCCATGACCAAACTTTGACATCAGGACTTTAGTAGAATGATGACTAAAGAAAAGTCTGGAAGAAATTTTTAAAATATAAGTTTTATCACTTGAGACATGATTACCCAGAACCCAGAAACAATGAAGATTGCAGGGAGAGGTAGGTCCAGATGTGTTAATGAGGTTCAATGGCTCCAGATAGTCAGAAATTTGAAAATGATGGGGATTTTGGGACTGATACAGAAAAGTCTCAGACCAGACAGCTTCATAGATCTAATGGGCCAATGGGTCTGACATTGTGGACCAACTGGAGTTTGAATTAGACAGAGGGGAGCGCCCATGTGAAGAAGAAATTCTCAAGCTTAAGCTCTCAAGGTTAAGCTTTCTACAAGCACCGAGATGTTTATTTTAATGTCATATAGATGGTAATACTCTTTAGAAATTCAACAATTTCTAATGGAGCTGGTATTATCTCCAACAGTCCTTGTTTTAGGGTGGGGTGCACTCTGAACTGGACATAAGTCCATCACATGACTCAAATAACATTGGTAAATAAAAAAACTTCCACAAGACATGAACAAATCCCTTTTCATAATATGGCTTACTATTGTAATGGGAAGCAACTTGTTGGAAATGATTAGCATCTCTCCAACACACTGAGTATGCCGCTAAAACTTTATTTTTTTATGTGACTGACAAAGTTTAAAAAATAAATTACAGAAAAATGTATGCTGTTAGTACTTCAGATGGTAATGTTCAAAATCCAACCACCAGAAAAACACAAGAAGAAGAAACCCTTTTTGTGCTGGAGATCTTGTAGATACTCAGTATGTTCTGTCAAGCCTTTACAGCATTATACCAACACCACAGTACCCCCCTTGATGTGAGTGTGTTGTGGCTATTGTGCTGACTTTGTGCAAGTTTGACAACTGCAGTAGTGGCCTATAAAAGCAACATAGACCATCCAGGCCACTGTGAAGGCACAAATAAGCCTATTGATCACACTGTCAAATGGGACAACATAGACATGCATAATTCATAGGCCCTTCTAAACTCTGTGTTGTATTATTATAACACAAAGTAATGTGCACATTTAAAGTTGCTTTTTACAAACAATAATTCACAAGATTAGGGATACCTGCTCATTCTGCACTGATTACCCTGATGCATGCTCAATTGCAACATTGCAAACACATATTTAAGAGTTATGTTTTACCTCATAATGTATTTTGTTGGGGTGGGGGAGGGGAGTTCAGTACCATTCATGAACGCAATAAAAGCAGATGACTCGAGATAAGGTGTGTGAGTGAAAGTAAGCAGAAAGGTAAATAGGATGATGAAAAGTTGAGGGGTAATGTAACATCTACAATAGGTCTACAAATTATGAATTTACAGATTGTAGCAAATGTTGCAACAAAGGGTGGGATAGTGGTAATATAACCATAAAGACTGAAAGGTGTGTTCCTACTTTGAATAATGACAAATATCTTCAAAACCCATGATTTGGGTTAAAGCACCTAAATAGAGGAGGAGAAAGGAAGAAGTTTCTCTTCCTACTCTGTGGAAAGTTGGAAAATCCCAAAACACATCACAAATTATCTTTTGCTGAGGCACATCAAGTGCAACATAAGTTAATCCAAAACAGAACATTAGAAGATACAGCCTGTAGGTGAAGGAGAAATCTGAGTATTACTCTGTCTCGAGTGATATGAGTGCAAATAAAGGCTTTGATTTGCTGCAAATATCAGACTGGCAAAGAGAGGAGTGCTCTGTGTAAAGAAACTGAAAATGTAATATCTAAAATAATAGAAATTTTTTTAATGTAATTTAAACAATTTAAGGAATAGGTCAATCATATTTACTGATTTAACAAATGACCACTAGTAGAAAGATTGTTGTATGTACCTAAGCAGTTAAAACATTTGATGATCTTTAAATAAAGACAAAAAAAAACCCTAAGAAATTAAAAAAATACAATGTGTCTAAATAGAAAAAAAAAAGAATAACTACATCAAAATATGGAAACTAAAATAATAGATGATACAATGTATTTTATAAATAACAGCATTAAAAACTTCAAAAGAAGAACTGAAGAAAAAACTTGTGGTACAAACATGGACTGGAAAGTAAAACACAAAGTCAAACTAAAAATGAAATGTTTTGTGGCTGGAAGGCAAAGATAAGAAAAAACTGTTCATACTGTATATTATCCAAGATACACAGATATATTTACTTTGTCAACAAAATGGATAACATTTCATTGAAGGGTTCAGACAATAAAAAAGACTTTTCAGCTGAACACAAATGTTCAACCTCACCCATCTCCCCATAACCCCAGAACAACTGGAAGTAGGTTATGGAAAATAGATGGATCCATTATAGGAAAGAAAAATACAAATAAAAACTCGGCATTTAAAAATATGAATAAAAGGTAATTTGAAACATGGACGTAAAAAAAGAAAACAAGCTGTGGTTATACCCCTTGGTATGTTGAACAGGAATATATCCATGTTACCTTTTTAAAGGGGAACATTTACTTTGTTGTACAACTGAAATATCTGGGCCACCGTTCCCATGGTGAAGCAACTTCAGAGGAACTATGGCTTCTCATTTATCCACTCAAAGGCTCTAAACACTACAGGGGCCATCCCTCGCGAGTATATTCTGCTCTTCCCCTCCCATTGAGAAGCTTCAATTGTTTCAAGAGGCCATAAATTATCCACGTGCATGGAAAAAAAATCTCTCCTTTCTCTATGATTTCCATATAATGTTCATGAGCAAGACATTAATGACCGCAGTGTTTTTATATAGAGAGGTGGCAGTGCCATGCTACCTGCATTTGTGTTTGCCTCAAGATATTTTACACTTCCAAGACCATGATCCCGGTATAAAAATGTAGCAAACTTCACTTTATGTTCCATATGTGACAATTGTGAAGGATCTTCATCTTATTGTGTGAGCACTTCACTGCAACACACTCCCACAACCACCCCTCCCCAGAGATGTAATTACTCCTAACCGATGTGCGCGGTGAGACAGCAGTGGCCTCACCTTGACACAAAGTCGACCTCACACCAAGATGCAAAGCGTGCACTCACACCATCCATAGTGCATGTGTAGAGCCATGCATATATAATAATGTATAGCTCCTGCTTAGTATGCTAATATAGGACAACACTTTTCACTGTGAGGATCAGTGGCATGCTAGTTTGCTAATTATTCCAGAGTGCAGATGGGGAAAGTCACATTGATTAATCAACAGAGACCACACTGATTTACAGGCAAATTTAAAGAAGCCAATCTCTTCATGTGTCCAGGGCATTTACACTGTTTATTTTAAATACAGTTTGGATAAAAAATGGAAGCTTTACCTGGTCCAGAGCAAAAGGCTGCAATCACAGCCAGTATACAGACGTAACTGAGGTAAGGCATCCATGAAACACTATCCTGAAAGCAGACAAGAGTAAGGTTAAAGTGCAAAAAAGCATTCATTGAGAGATTATTGTTTGCTCACAATAACTACCAATATAGTAAGACAGCAATTCACATACAGTATGGTTTGAAGAAGAGAACAAATGATTTACCTGGATGTTGAGAAAAACTGTAAGCAAGCTGAAGAATACAGCCATGGAGGAGAAACCAAATATGAGGAGGGGTCTTCTTCCAACTCGCTCTATCACCAGACCCTGAACACAGCAGAAAATGAACTGATAAATTCACTGCAATGGATGCAGTTTATTCTAAATTAAAGTATCAATTTACAGATGAGTACATTTGTTGATGTCTATTTGACATTTATTTAAAAATATCATTAAGTTACTGTTATTTAATGCAAACTGCTGGCTACCCTACCCTACCTTAAATAAATAATGTTACTAATTCTAAAAAAGTTCAATCTGATCCTCTGGACATTCAAAAAACAAAACAAAACAAAAAAGGTAGAAACGTTTCGTCTTTCATCTGAAAGACTTCCTCGGTCTGAGGTGCTGTATTCAGCTCAGTCTTATAAATAGCACCTTCTCAGAGTGGATCAACCTGTTTGCTGCTGAAAACCAAAACCAGCTGCTCACATGGTCAAGAAGGACCATCAGCCTAACAATGGATCATTAGCACACTGATGGCTGTTTACTATTCACAGGGGGTTGAGTGATACTAGCAATCACAGCATTGTAAGAGGGGGACAATTGAACCCGGAGGCCTCCACCCCTGTTTAATGATGGACGATTTCTTTTCACAAAGATGGCCTCCTTTACTCCTCTCTCAAACCATCGTTCCTCTCTGTCCAGGATGTGAACATCTTCATCCCTGAAAGAGTGACCGCTGGCCTGGAGATGAGTGTAGACCGCAGAGTCCTGGCCTGATGATGTTGATCTTCTGTGCTGGTCCATCCTTTTGGCCAGTGGCTGTTTAGTTTCCCCGATGTAAGACTGATCACAGCCCTCCTGACACTGAACAGCATACACAACATTACTCTGTTTGTGCCAGAGGACTGGATCTGTGGGATGAACCAGTCTTTGCCGTAATGTATTTTGGGGTTTTAAAGCCACTGGACGTTATGTTTAGAAAATAAACGTCTCAGTTTCTCTGATACTCCCTCAACATATGGAATGGCACTGGTCTGGGTCTGGGTTCCTCCTTTTCACCTGATGGTTGACTGGAGTCCTGTTTGGGTTTCTTCTCTGCTTTCAGGAAGGCCCAGTTAGGATATCCACATTGCTCTAGTCTAGAGCCTGTCTTGTGTGGGATTTCTCCTTCTGCCTGGCTCCTGAGCTAGTGGGGACACTGTCTGCTCTGTGATACAGAGTCCTGATGACTCCTAACTTGTGCTCCAAAGGGTGATGGGAGTCAAACTGCAAATACTGGTCTGTGTGGGTGGGTTTGTGGTACATCTCAGTTTGCAAATGTCTTTCGGATGAAAGACGAAATGTTACTCCTTTTTTTGTTGTTTGTTTTGTTTTTTGAATGTCCAGAGGACCAGACTTAACTTTTTTAGATTTTTCTACCTGGATTATTGAGCATGCATCAGGAAATGTTACTAATTGATTTTTTTATGTATGTGAGTGTTTCTGTTCAGTGCCCTGAGACAACTGCTGTTATGTGTCTTGGTGCTATATAAATAAACTGAATTGAATTGAATTTAACAAGACAAATCCCTTTGAGATCACAGATCTCTTTTTTAAGGGATGCCTGGTCCTGAAGACAGCCTAACAGACAGGTTTTTTGGACTGTGGGAGGAAACCAGAATAACTGAAGAAAACCAGCGAGAAGAACATACAAAGGCCACACAAAAATACCCCAAGTCCAAACCGGAGATTGATGCCAGGACCTTCTTGCTGTGAGGCAGCAGTACTAACTACTAAGCCGTTTTGCAGCCACAGTATATATAAATTTTAAACCATGACCACTATCCTAATTGGATATTCTTTGTCTCCAAGAGTGGATACCATCAAAAAAGAAACAAATCTTTGTCAATTTCCTGGGTTTCACTTTGACTTTAACATTGTTGCTATAAGTGAAACATATTTACATTTATATGAGTTTTCCTGTGCAGAACTTGACTCAGGTGCCCCTATAGAATATACATTTAGCAGTGGATGTAAGTTCATACTCAGTTATCTCACACATTTTAGTCTTTTTTCACACTGGGCTCTGACACCTAGTTTAAAGTGCACTAAAATAATCCTTCTTAATCAGTAGGATGTCATGAGGCTATAGAAAAAAGTTGGTAGAGCTGCTGCCTCTCAGGCAGGTCCTTGGTTCAAACCCCGGTCCAGGGGCCTTTCTGGGTGGAGTTCGCATGTTCTCTCTGTGCATGCGTGGGTTTTCTCCGGGTGCTCCGGTTTCCTCCCACAGACCAAAAACATGCATGTTAGACTGATTGGTAACTCTAAATTGTCCCTAGGTGTGAGTGAGAGAGTGAATGTTTGTTTGTCTCGTTCGTCTCTATGTGGCCCTGTGATGGACTTGCATTATGTACATGTCGTCTCCCACCCCTCGCACAGTGATTGCTGGACATGGGCACCAGTGACCCCCGTGACCCAAATTGGAATAAGCGGGTAAAGATAATGGATGGATGGACAAATGATTTTGACCTCAACATACATTATTTACTATTAATGTATATCAACGGTGTTAACGCTTGTCAATTTTATAGAAAATGGACAAAAGTTTTGTGTGAAAATCGCTGAAAGTCATCTTTAATTCTAACTCCAAGCAAATAAGAATATGTATAGCATAATTTATGTAGTGAGTCACGTGAGGTACGTGTCACTTGTTGTATGACAAATATATGAATTATATATGCATACAATATTCACGAGTTCTTCATTTTTCTGACTGTGTAATGTCGTGCATTGAATTTAAAGGAATGCGAACGAGAGACGTTATTACCTTTGACCCATCAAATGAATGGAATCATTTATTTTCAAAATCAAAGTTTAACATCAAACATTTACATTAATTTGGCAAAATATGAAAATAATAACAGACAGTTTCACAGAAAATGAACTTCAAATCACTCGGCGGTGATTTGAGGACTTTGCTTCAGACATTTCTAAAAATATCTGTACTGATTTATGAGAGAGAAGAGTTTAAGATTAAATTGAGATTTATCTTACAGAGGAAATATGTGAGGGAATTTAATCTGTTTGACCAGAAGTTGCACGCTCCGTCCGATCTCAGCTTCTCACGGTACACTTGGTCAAAATAGAACCATCTACCTGTTGATGATGAATCAGCCTTGGAGTAGTTCCTTTCTGACTCGTTTCAGCGTCTCCGTCGAGAGCTACCAAACCTTCAGAGAGTCGTGCGTGGTTAGCTCAAAACAGAATTATAATCCCCAAAAAACCTCTGGATTCTTCATTGCTCTGAAGCTTTCAGAACCGACTGCACTCTCAATCTTGGAACTCTCACGTTCTCCAGAACTCTCAATCTCTTGGAATTCTGGAATTCTTGAATTCTGACTTGAACTGGGAAGTTGTCACATTTTTTAAATGAGTTTACTTCCTGTTCAATTTAGAGCTTTCTGATTCGTGGAAGGACCAGAAAGAGGAGTGGTTTTGACGTAAGGTGTTTATCAACAGTCGAGGTCAGAGAATGAAACTTGTTTAACATACAGAAAAGATTATTGCAGAAGCAGCAGACTTTTTGGAGTCTACTCTTGGTAATCTTCTGAAAAAGTTTAAACATGACATTTCTTCTTCAGTAAACATTTAGCTGACCGAAGCCTCAACTTTCACACACTTACGACTTGCTCATTTCAGACAGAAAATCAAGAAAGGCATATTCAGGTGATTTCTTCTCTGAATGAGGAATAAAAATCATTACTTACTGTTTATGTAAAATAAAAATGAGTAGTTCTTTTCAACCTGTAAAGCATTGAGTGAACTAACACAATTTGATTATCAAAACATTTGTAAGACAGTAATGATTATAAAGAATTGTCTTTTCTGCTTGATTTATTCAAGAAAGAAAGTTCATCAGATGGCCCAGACTTATTCAGATCAATGAAAATAACAGTCTCTGTCCATCTGGTAGATTTGAGGTCATCTGGTTCACTACATTTACCCATTTGATCCCAAAATTAACTCTGTTCCTTGTCATTATAATATTATCTTAGCTTAAAACTCTGGTATTAAAAAGTCCTGGACGATGTACATTTCTTTAAGTCAGGGGTCTCCAATCCTGGTCTTTGTAGATCACTATCCTGCATGTTTTACTTGTTTCTCTGCTCCAACACAACTGATTCAATGTTACATTACCTCTTCATATCCTGCAGAAGTCTGGTAATCATTCATTAATTCTAATAAGGTGTGCTGGAGCAGGGAAACTTCTAAAACATGTAGGATAGTGGCCCCCAGAGGATCCCAATTGGACACCCTTGCTTTAAGGAATTTAAAGTAGAAACCTGCTTTAAACCTTAAATTATTTTCTTCGTCGGAGCATTTTCCTGTTGGTATGCCCCAAACTGCATCAATGTTTAATTTGGATTTCCTCTACATGCAAGAGATAATAGTCTCAGTACACTGTATGCGTGTATCTCCAAATAAATATCACAGTGGACGTCCTCCCTGTGTGCTTAAGACATTTCTTTCCCAGATGCTACTCACAGCCCAGAAACACACAAGAACCAACCTCCAGCATACTACCAGCTCATTAGGGTCTCTGAAGATTTCTGAGAATGGATATTTATGAGCTTGCATACGTGTGCATGTGTGTGTGGGTCTAAGAGAAAGAGACAGTTTAAAAGAGTAGATACAGAAGTTTGTCTTTCCTACACCTGAATAATTAATCACCAGCAACAGACTGAACCCGGGAGTCAGAGCGTTGTCATGTGCATCACTCGGTGCGCATAAAACCAGTTCAACATTCATATTTCTGGCTTTAACATGTTTAAATTCATTACTGTCACTTAGTCTGGCTTGTCAATTGTGTTTTAGTAAAAGATCAATTATAACAGCAACCTACTCACTAAAATGTAGCTAAAGTCATTAGACTTCAAACGATGCCTCGAGCTGTTTCTTCTTTCTTTTGTGCACCTACTGTAAATAAGAACAAGCGGTACGCCGATGTCTCTCAACGCTGAAGGATTTGAATAGTGAATGTTTGTAGTTTTTGAGGTGAGTGTTTTTCTGGGCAGGAAATGAACAGTAAAGTTAACCTTAATCTTTTTAATGCAAGATGTTCA